TAATAAATATTCCTCATCAATCACTAATATACCTTAATAAGAAAATTAAGATCACTAAACATTGATTTTCCACCTTTTTTTAGAGGAGTGGTGGCAAATAAGATTGTGCAGGCATACTAGGTTATACATCATATCGAAACACCAGAATCCAAAGAATTCAAAAGACAAAACATCCAATAAACCATTGCAATCACATTTTTGTCTTAGTAACCTTACTTTGCTAGGAAAGAAATTCCAAACAAGAAACTTTTATTAATAAAAATGTGAATATGTTTGCAAATGATGTTTTCTTGGATAACCATATTTAGAAATCCAAATTTTTGACATAACTTCTCCAAATGGATATTAATGCAAAATTTCTACCACATTAAGGCATTAACTTGAATTAGCTAATATCCATTTAAAAAAGCTTGAGGAATAGGCTAAATTTAAATGGCTAATATTACATTTAACTGAAATGTATTGAATATGCAACACTAAGTTACTTGATTATCAAGCAAAACAAGAATATTATGCATGTAAATTAGGTACTGATTTGGCCATGGAATAAAAAATAAAGAATATTTACATTACCTAGATCCTAGCAAGAGCTGTGGATGCCTCAACAACTCGATGTTCCAATTTAACTTCCTTTTCCACGGTAGCTTGTTCCAAAAATAGAGATTATTAAAGTGCAAGATAACAACAAATAAATCAATGTTCCAAATATGAACCATTTTGGTAGCATTATGTGCTACATGTTCTTCTTTTGCTCTCTCTTTTGTAAAAGCCAGTTCCTCACGTAGGGCCTAAGAAAGATGCATACAAATCGATTAACAAGCTAATAATGAAACAATAATGTATATGTGTCTGTGTGTGTGATTTATGAATACAAATGCGTGTGCCAACAATAACAGTTAGTTTACTTGCATCATCCTTATCTTTATCAATTCCTTGTTTCTTATAATAGGCTTCATATTTGCTTGATGGTATGCAATCAAAGGTATTAACAAAGCTCAAATGACCAAAAGGCGTAAGTCAAGAGCACATATTGATTACCCATAAAAGAGAGAGAGTGTGTGTGTATGTGTGTGTGCGTGTGTGTGTGTGTGTGTGTCTTTGAATGTAGCCCCAAAATAAAGGAGCAAATACTACATAGGAAAGGGATACAAAAGCAAAAATGCATATTACAATTTGCTTAGTAAGTTAACAAGAAATCGTGAATAGGCTAAGTTTTTGTTACAAGAGGCATGAAATAAGCTCTCTAGGTTTCTCTATTATCACAAAAGCATGATGAACAAAAGTAAGTGGTAGGATCTATATCTTTTTATTTAGCTTATAATGCCATTAATAGTTAGATATACAAAATTTAAAGTGATAGGAACTATTGTTTTTAAACTAAACCACATAAATTCACCTACTAAATCAAATCATTGAAAGCTGCTATGTATATTGCATGAAAGCTACTACAAAGTCAATTCTAGTTTAACCATCATCTGCATGAAATAAAGCTACTCATTCAAAGATTAATGCTTCAAGAATTATGATAGAAGTGTTGGGAGAAAGGCTCTAATAAACAACACAAACACTTGGCGTGCACTCTGCATAAACCATTTTGATACATAACAACTCAAGCTTTAATCAAGCTAATGGCACTTTTTTAAAAAATATCATGAAAAAAGAGCTGCAATAAAAAGTGCCACATAAAGTGTATTTCTATGGAGTTTATGCAATGATTTATCGAGACATAATGGATGTTCACCAGTTTGACTCTTGTGCCCTAAAAAAAAATATTTTATTTATAGCAATAAGATTACAATGATTATAAAAGGAGCATTGAGTTTTTTCACTATTGTCAGGGCTAAAGGGGTAGCCTTAGATAAGTGATCTAACACATACCTTAATTAGTAAAGCAGCCCAACAATCCATCAACTGCTTACACCCTTTAATGAGTTTAAAAGCTTTTACATTTATGCCACCAATAATCATTATAATATTTAAAATTGATACATTATTTCTTAACACATGAGATCTACCTTCTTTCTTAGCATTTTTACTTTATCATGACTTTATACAAAAATAGTTCATGATATCCTATACCTGATCATAATCTTATACAAGATTAACTCATGATACCTCTTCACTTCTTATATAATCTGGATTGAGAAAGTCCAAAACATAAACACCTAACAAAGCACTAAGAACGAAACCACAATCATGAAAACTAAAAAAGCCCTCAGAGTCGAAAATGAGCCAAGCGAGCCCAAAATTTTTTAAACCACACGGAAGGTAATCTTTAGTTTAGAAGGGAGACGTCTAGAATTCATGGAATAACATCTTGTTTCATGCTCAAACATTTTTACTGTACAAATAATATTTAATAAATTTTGAGTTTAAACTTTAATATTTTTAATTTTTATTTTATATTTTTGAACTATGATTTTATATATATATATATATATATAAATCTGATATTGTTTTATCCTTTATTATTATAGTCTCTAGGTAGCTAGTCACATATCCAAGTTGCCCTGATCGTCCTTTGCTGCACATGGATTCTGCAGATTTCTTCTTTGTTGTTTTAGAAATTCTTGCGTCATATATCCATGGTTTTTGTTTTTATGACGTAGATTTTCTAAAGTTTCATATTCTGGATTTTAGTTGACAAACAACAAAGCTTTAAACCCCACCAATAACTATCGAGTGATGAAATTTTGAGACCTTTGCCACCCGGTTATATTAAACCGATGATGTTACATAAATTATAATCAAATTCACCAATTTATTGCTTATTTTCCCATCTCTAAATTTAAAATTATTTTAGCAAGTATGATATTAAAGAAAAATTAAAACCTGGGACAAGCTAACACCTTAGAATCCCATGTGCATACTGATCCCAACTGCTTATTTCATTTTAATTTTATTTATTATCAAATTATTAAATGCATTTAATTTACATTTAATAATTTTAAATATATTTCATAACTAAAATAAAATTAAAAAATAAATTATTGGATAATATAATAACACGCATGAATCGAGCTTAAGCTGTAAAAGTTTTGTCCAATACCAAACTCAAGTTGAAAAGCTCATTAAACCAGCTTATGAATAGTTGTAACAATGACAATCAATCGATTTTATATTGGTTAGCATTGACTTTGTCCATCTACCTTTACATATTAAAAAAATAAATTACACATTTAGCTATTTAAATTTTTAAAAATTTTATTTTGATCATGAAATTTGAAAAATCAAAATTTAACTTAAAAATTTTTTGTCATTATTCAAGATTAAAAATTAAATTACATATATAAATCTAGTAAGTAAAAAACACTATAGTATATCTTTGGTTGAATGGATGAACAAGTGAAAATATAATATTTTATAGAGTTGTTGGACCATTTAATTATTAGGGAAAAGAAAAGCAATGCGAGAGATAAAAAAGATAATAACATATATAAATCTAGTAAGTAAAACACTATAGTACATCTTTGGTTGAATGGATGAACAAGTGAAAATATAATATTTTATAGAGTTGTTGGACCATTTAATTATTAGGGGGAAAAAAAAAGCAATGCGAGAGATAAAAAAGGTGAGCCATTTAGGATTAAACAACTCATATAATTATTCAATTTCACCTGCCCTGTCCGGAGAATTAAAGTCTCCAGCTAAGACCTAGAAAACCATACAGCTATGCAGCATTGGACCTATCGTGCACCGGCAAGTCAAACCAAATTTTCTTTATTTATTTACATCAGCCAAAGGATATATTAAAAAAAATGCTTATTTGCAAGACATGGGTTGAAGCTGGCTTATTGGAGGATAAAGTTAGGATCTTAGTACTTCATGGATCTTGATGAAACAAGTCATATCACATGGAGAAACTATAGGCAGGGAGACCAGTAGTCGCGAGTTCTTTTTGAAAAAAGTTCACCATGTTCATTGGCAGTTCAAATTTTATTTTTATTTTTAATTTTCAAACTAAGAATTCTTTTGTAAAAAAAAATATTTTCACCTAGAATTATTGAAATTCTGTTTTTTTTTTTTTTTAAATTGTAATCAAGTCCAAAGATATCTGATAAACTATCTTTTTTCGGGTTCATTTGCATTTTTGGATTGAAGTGTTGGGCACTCATTCACATGATTCCACAGTTTCAACTACCTACGGGCTGTGACTAACAAGTAGCCATCAACGTCGCAAACTATACGGGAAATCAAGAAACGCGGATGCCTAATGTCCAATTTTACGCCATGAAAAAAAAAAAAATCCAGAATGAAAAGAAAATATTACAGTCTGTGTCAAATCCAGTACGAGGGTCATACGAATCCGTAAGAAAATGTGTCAACCTATTGCTGATACACCTAAGTTAGATAATGGGTAGAGAGAGATTGTAATATATGTTTTTAGATTTTTTACTGTTTGATAATTATTTTAAATTATAATTAATTTACATTTGAATTGAATTAAATTTTATTAAATTTATTTTTTTATTCATAAAATTAAAATTTTACTTAAAAAAATTACATTTTTTATTACTCAAACCAACATATGTTGGTAAAAAAATTATAATATGATAGCTTAAGAAAGCTTTTTCTGGAACTTAGTCAGCTAAGGTACAATCAACAAGAGAGTTAAAATACTACTTCTAAAAGCCAATAAAGATCATTAGATGCAAAAGAAAAGTTTAATTGCCAATTCCCAACTTGACAGAAGAAGGTAGTTGAAAAATAGAAAGAGAAAAAGTGTATCCATCGTCGGTCATTACCGACAAATAATCTCCCTTAATCAAACTTAGATATGCAATGCTCAAGGTACCAAACTCTCCTGTAGGCTTTGTTTTTATTTTAGCTCTGCCATTATGTTTGAAATTAGTAACAATATTGTATGCTTTCATCAAAACACTTGTATGGTTTTTATTGTAGCAGTCCCAGACTTTAAAGGACATTAAAACAGGAAATAACTCATGAACAAGGCCTTGTATCCGTAGTCCAAATTTTCAACTAAGTGGGACCTAAATGGACCCTATTACATTATGAATTACTGAAAGATTTACAAATCTGGGTGACTACTGCATGATGTATGCAAACAAGAGATATTTTGACACCGAGACTAAAGAAAAGGCTGATTTAGCACTATAAAAGCGCATTTCTCATTGCAACATCGGAAGACAGAGCTCGACGATGTATCTTACGTACCTGCTAGTATTGCTCCTTGGAGTGGTGGTTCTCACCACTCCCTCCCTAGGTACCTATGAATCACCAAACTATGGGAAACCACCTACTCCTGTTTACGAACCTCCCGAGGTGAAGCCACCACCAATTTACAAACCTCCAAAGCAGCCTGAACCTAAGCCACCCAAGCCCCCTGTCTATGAACCTCCTAAGAAGGAGAAGCCTGAACCTAAGCCACCAAAGCCACCGGTTTATGAACCTAAGCCACCAAAGCCACCAAAGCCAGAACCCAAACCACCAGTATATGAACCTAAGCCACCAAAGCCAGAACCCAAACCACCGGTTTATGAACCTAAGCCACCAAAGCCAGAACCCAAACCACCGGTTTATGAACCTAAGCCACCAAAGCCACCAAGCCACCGGTATATGAACCTAAGCCACCAAAGCCAGAACCCAAACCACCAGTATACGAACCTAGCACAAAGCCACCGCCACCGGTTATGAACCTAAGCCACCAAAGCCAGAACCCAAACCACCAAAGCCAGAACCCAAACCACCAGTATACGAACCTAAGCCACCAAAGCCAGAACCCAAACCACCAGTATATGAACCAAAGCCACCAAAGCCACCAGTATATGAACCTAAGCCACCAAAGCCAGAACCCAAACCACCAGTATATGAACCAAAGCCACCAAAGCCAGAACCCAAACCACCAGTATACGAACCTAAGCCACCAAAGCCACCGGTTTATGAACCTAAGCCACCAAAGCCAGAACCCAAACCACCAAAGCCAGAACCCAAACCACCAGTATACGAACCTAAGCCACCAAAGCCACCGGTTTATGAACCTAAGCCACCAAAGCCACCAGTATATGAACCTAAGCCACCAAAGCCAGAACCCAAACCACCAGTATACGAACCTAAGCCACCAAAGCCACCAAAGCCAGAACCCAAACCACCAGTATACGAACCAAAGCCACCAAAGCCACCGGTTTATGAACCTAAGCTACCAAAGCCAGAACCCAAACCACCAGTATACGAACCTAAGCCACCAAAGCCACCGGTTTATGAACCTAAGCCACCAAAGCCAGAACCCAAACCACCAGTATACGAACCTAAGCCACCAAAGCCAGAACCCAAACCACCAGTATATGAACCAAAGCCACCAAAGCCACCAGTATATGAACCTAAGCCACCAAAGCCAGAACCCAAACCACCAGTATATGAACCAAAGCCACCAAAGCCAGAACCCAAACCACCAGTATACGAACCTAAGCCACCAAAGCCAGAACCCAAACCACCGGTTTATGAACCTAAGCCACCAAAGCCACCAGTTTATGAACCTAAGCCACCAAAGCCAGAACCCAAACCACCAGTATATGAACCTAAGCCACCAAAGCCACCGGTTTATGAACCTAAGCCACCAAAGCCACCATTATATGAACCTAAGCCACCAAAGCCAGAACCCAAACCTAAGCCACCAAAGCCAGAACCCCAACCACCAGTATACGAACCTAAGCCACCAAAGCCACCGGTTTTTGAACCTAAGCCACCAATGCCACCAGTATATGAACCTCCCAAGAAACCACCAGTATATGAGCCACCTTATGGTCACTATCCAGGACACCCTCCATCGGAGAAGCCTTAACAGAAAGTCCCCATTAGCTAGCCAACCAAACAACTGAGCTGCTATGGCTATATAGATAGATCAGTACCTATAAATAAGAGCTGCTGCCAACTCGTGCTGTTTTCTTTTATTCCATGTAATGTTTTCATTTATGTCATGTTTGATGAGAGACACTAGCGAGAATGTTGCTCATGTCTGTACTCTTTGAAATGTCTATTCTGTATCTTCTTGTTGCTCCATAAGCATATCCTCATTCAACTTAAATGCAATTGCCAACTGCAGGAGTATTTATCACAGATTTTTCTTGTATTCTCATGCATGTGCCTTTAATTTTGGCCATCCAAAACAGCTTCAGAATTCAACTTTTCTTATGTTTCAATGCATGCGCGCAGAAAATAGTGGCAGATAGACCAAGATAGCAAATAAATTTGAGACAATGGTGAAAGTTGCAATGGCCAATCTTCTAGAGTGACCGGATATGTTAACAAAAATGCTAACATTTGTCATGCTTGTGAACTAAAAACGGAAAAAAGGCATCAGCATAAGAAAATTGGCTAGAAAACTAAGCAATCTTATCTCTATAAATGTTTTTCAATTTTACATTAATCTGGCTAATTTTATTCTCCTTTGGATTTTGCCGTCAATCAGTATGCCTTAAAGGAATCCTAAGTGGGTCAAGTTCAATTTCAAGTATAGCTTCATTTTAAATGGGCTATCTATTTTTGAATATGAATAAACTTAAAAGAACATCTAACTCTATAAAATTTATAAGAAATGAAAATTTTATTATTTCTAAAATAATCAGAAAGAAACATTGAATTGTTTAGTAATAAAAAGTTGCCTAACCCTAAATTAAGAATGATATTGTTCATGATGTAAGATTTATACGAAAGTCGTTACACTGAATTATTGGCAAATTATGGATGCCCAATGATAAGGGCATTTGATAGTAAAAAAGGCATAATAATTTTTTTTTTCTTTGAAGCCTTCGCAAACAACTAAGAATATTTTTGTCACTTGTGTCGACCTGACATGTTAGATCGATCTGACATGCTTAGTATCACATCAACTCGATATTGTCATTATTATCCTTGATGGTCCCTTACAACTTACCTATAAATATGAAGGTCCAGGCACCATTAAGTCAAGTTGAACCTATTCATTTTCTCTCATTCTAACTTCCTTTGCAACCTAAATATTTTTAACTTGCGCATCAGAGTATAAACGCAAGAAACACACCATGTTTTTGCCTCTAATTGCCCTTTTTTTTTGTCTTTCCCACGTCGAAGCTCGGCACTAATATTTGGTGTGCCAATTAAGGGACCTTTTCTTTCATTAGTCGAGCATAAAACAATGCTGCCAAGGAATAGAACCTTAAAGGAAGGAGAGTCAACCATCTCAACTGGAATAGAAACCCTCCACAGTCAGCATTCCGTCCGATAGCCTAACTGCAGGTGAGCCTGATCATAAAACAATTTCAAGCCCTAGCTGAATAGATACGAGTGCTCAAACAAATGTTATAAATTATAACTCCATCCCAAGTTTCAAAAGTGCCTGACTTAATTACGCTTGGTCAAAGAGTCATTGTCAAACAACCGAGCTATGTAGAGGTAGAAGACTTTTTGGCCTTCAAGGAAAATAAGCACACGTCCCTAACCACATTTCAACATAGGCTATGACCCAAAAATCCAAACAAACAAACCTTAAACCCTAATCAAATAAAGATTTAGATGCTCAGATGTAGGCCATGAAAAAAGAGCTAAAAACAAAAATAGTAACTTTTGAAAATGATCTCAAGTTCTTGAAGACCTTACTCTTCATCAAAGAAATTGACAGAGCCATGCCTCTCAAAAGATTTAAGATGCCGACCTTAGAAACCTACGATAGTACTTCTGAGCTTTCGATCTTTTAGAATTTTATAGAACCAACATGCTGATGTAGAGGGCAAACAAGGCTCAAATGTGTAATGGTTTAGCTATTATACTAAAAGGCACAACTCAATTATGGTATAGTAGCTTGGAACCGAGGTCAATCATGACATTCAAGGAGCTCAGCCACTTTTTTCTATCTAGGTTTGTGAGTAGTTAAAGAGCGAAGAAGACGACTTTAAGTTTGATGTCAATCCACCAAGGACAGAATGAAACTCTAAAGAGTTATATCACGTATTTTAATGCAAAAACTTTGCAAGTTAAAGACCTAGAGCATATAGCCATTGTCGTCACCTTGACAAGTGGACTTAGTGATAAAGAGTATCACCTGAAGTTAACTCTATCTCTAGCATCGCCTAAAACTCTAGTCGACATATTACTGATAGCTGAAAAGTACATAAATGCTGAAGCTAAAATGAAAATTAATCGAGATGAGAGAGGCTTATCCCTTCCTCTTTGATTGTAAAAAAGATAATGATTTCTACGATCCTTTCCTAAGAGAAAGACAACATAGGGTTAGAAGCCCTAGTAGAGAAAGAAGCTACACCACACTGAATACCTCTCGAGAGATGATTCTAATATAAATTGAAAGAAACCTAGACTTTAGATGGCCAAAGCCACTAAGACAAAACATGAGAATGGATCTGACTAAAAGTTGTGACTTTTACAGAGATATAGGTCATAACACTGAAGATTGTATCGACCTAAAAAATGAGATAAAAACTCTGATAAGATAAATATCAGTTGAAGAGATTTGTGAGATAGAATAGACAAGACCAATCTAGACTTGACTATAGGCAAGACCGTGGGTGCCATCCAGGATAGAGAGAAAAAAGTAAAAAATGAAAGAAAAAAAGCTCACGACGATGAACTAATCTAAAAAAAAAGGCCAAGTTAACAATAATAGGCCAATTATCGAGGTAATTAATGTAATCACCAGAGGTAGCTCCATCTTAGCCAAAAGGAAGTTCAACTCGAGCATAGTTATAGCGATAGGTACCTCAATAAAAAGAGAAAAAGATTGGAAAGAACAGCCAATCTCATTTAGCTCAAAAGACTTGGAAGGAATCCAACACTTATATGATGATGCCACAGTGATCATAGCCTTAATATACAATTGTATAGTCAAAAAAATCTTATTTGATAATGAAAGTTTAACTAACATCATGTACTATGGTTGCATGAAAAAAATAGAGATTAGTGAAGATCAGTTGAAGCCAATCACCATCATATTTATAAGGTTTATGAACGAGCAAATGCCAATAAAAGAAATTATCAAGCTTTTAATCTCTTTAAAGACTAAACCAAGAATGATCACTTTGGTCATAGAATTCATGGTTGTGGACATCCCATCAGCTTATAACATGATATTAGACTGACTTAGCCAATCTATAATGTGGTTTATAGGTTTAGCTTTTCATTTGAAAGTGAAATTCCTAACATCTGGTGAGGTTAGAGAAGATTGGAAAGATCAGTCAATGGCATGATAATGTTATGTCATAATTATGAGGGGCAGAATTGGAAAGTAGGCAAGTAGTTTGACAAAAATTGAGGTCAAAAGTAAAAAAAGATAACTACAAAAAATCGATAAAAAGCATGAAGTCACTAATGAGAGCATAGAACAAAAGATTGACCTAACAAAAGCATGTTCTTAAGCTACTTTCAAGCTTTAACAAAAAGAAAACGACAAATTTTGTTCTATTTTTCAAATTTTTTGAGGTAACACCAAAGATGACTAAGCTTTTAAGCCAATGTAAATGACCATATTTCATTGGATCGAGCTACTATGCTGGTCAAAATACAGTATGAAATGAAAAATACACACCAATTTCACTACATACATATTCAACAAGTTATTCATAGCATACTGATTATCATGTCAGGATTTATTTTCAAAGATAATGATCTCAACCTAATTGAACAAAAAGGGATAATTGATCAAAAATTGAATTCGAATGAAAATAAACCAAAACCAATTGAGAACCTCGTAACAGTTCCGTTTTAGGATAACATCTTTTAACAACACATACAGATTGAGGCTAAACTTTAACAGAATGATCAGTTAATTCAACTCCTAAAAGATAATGTTAACCTATTAGCTTGGATACCATTTGATATGCCCAGTATTGATACTGAAGTGATGGTTTATAGGCTACACACTAATCTTAAGGTAAAATCAATTTGACAAAAAAAAGAGAACTTTTACCCTTGAAAGACAATAGGCTATCAAGGAGGTTGACAAATTGTTATGAGTTGACTTTATTAGGCAGGTCTATTATCCTGAATGGATAGCCAACGTGGTCATGGTCAAAAAGCATAGCAGAAAATAGAGAATGTGTATTGACTTTACTGACTTGAACAAATCTTGCTTGAAAAATAATTTTTTTCTCCTTAGCATAGATCGATCGATGGATAATAGTGTCAAGCATAGCCTTTTTAATTTTATGGATGCCTATTTGGTTAGAATTAGATCAAAATGCTAAAAGATGATGAGAAAAAGATAGCCTTTATCATTAAAAAGGCCTTTACTATTATAAGTTAATGCCCTTCAGATTGCAAAATGCAAAGGTAACCTACCAAAAGTTGGTAAACAATGTGTTTAAAAATCAAATTGATCATAACATAGAGGTATATATGGATGACATGATAGTTAAAAGTAAGAGTTTGATTTAGCATCTAAAAGACCATAAAAAAAACCTTCAATACTCTAAAAAAATATAATATAAGGCTTAATTTGAGCAAATATACTTTTAAGGTCACATCAAGCAAGTTTCTTGGTTACATAATTAACAAATAAAGTTTGGTCAATCCTAAATATGAAGGCGCTGACCTTGGTAAAAAAGGCATAGAGGTTAACTGGTAGAATAGCCACACTCAGCCAATTCATGTTCATGTCGACAAAACGATGCCTATTATTCTTTAAAATCCTCAAGAATGTCTTTAACTTTAGGTGAACTCCTCAGTATCAAAAAGCTTTTAAAGAACTCGAAAAATTCTTATCTTTTCTACCCATTTTGTTTAAGTCAAGGTCCAACAAAACCTTGTACTATACATAACTAGTACAGATCATGCCATCAGCTTGATCTTAATCTAAGAAAAAAAAGAGAAACAAAGATCGATATATTTTATAAGCAATATACTGACAGGGCCAGAGATTAACTATAATGGTATAGAAAAACTAGCTTATCCTATTGTCACCTTAGCCAGAAAACTCAAGCCATACTTTTAAGCCCACACGATTCACGTATTGACTAATTAGCCACTGAGATAGATTTTTCAAAAACTAGAAATGTCAAGAAGATTAATTAAATAGATGGCAGAGCTCAATGAATTTAATCTACACATATTACCTAAATTAGCTCTAAAATCATAGGTACTGATAAACTTTGTCGTAAAGCTCTTATTCAAAAAGATAATTTGAGGAAAAAGAGAAAATTATAGATAAAGATAATTGGAAAACTCCATGTTGATAGATTAGCCATAAGCCATGACAAATGAGTCAACCTTATTTTGATCAACTCAGAAGGGCTATAGTACCTATGTACTTTGAGATTCAAGTTCAGGATATCCAACAATGAAGTGGAATATAAAGTGTTCATAGTTCGTCTAAAGTTGGC